AGTTGCTATTTGTTTATTTTATTTTTTAATTAAAAAAAAAATATATTATTTTATTTATTTATTATTTATTTATAACAAACAATTTAGCGACACAGAAGGGGCAATGTTATGAGGTAATGCAGCACTGTAAACTGCAACTAGATGCATGAAATGAAACAGAAACCGTCTTCCAATCTGCTTCTATTACCTTAGTCAAGGCAGAGTTTTCAGTGTGCGGGTGTCCCTAATATTGTGGTCAGTGTACTGTAACGCCCTCGCATGTGGGAAAGAAGAGCCACAGTTTGTGGAACGGCACAAGTATTCAAACACAAACACAGAAATCTAAAACACTTGCAAAGAGCTGCTGTAGGCCTCCGCTCACACCCAGACGCTCACACGCAAAAGGCACACATCCAACAAATATTACAGTACATACAGTTTATGATACCATATTTTATTTTACATTATCTTTCATTACGTTTTTTTGTTTGTTTGGTTTTTTTTTAAGTAACATTTTTGGCCATTGCACAAACAGTTTGAAAAGTCATCATTACTGCCTTAAGGAAAACCCCATAAATATAAAACAATTCAATGAAATACGGTGGTAAGTGTGCATGCTTTCTCTTGCCGCGTGATGTTCCTATCTCTGACCTTGAGAGGTTGTTTCCATCAGAAACCGAGGACCACCTGTATTAGGCCTAAAAGTGAGCCTTAAGCATGTCTTCAAGGCTGTTGAGGAGCACATAAAGGCAAAGTCCCAAATAATGGGATCGTTTCTCACCGGGGCCGACCTTGTACCCAGGTGTTCCCCTTGTCGACCGAAGCCGCTGGAAGGAAAAACAACGCTAAACACTTTCAAATGTGGCCCGAGGATTTGAGTAACAAGCTATTACTTGTTAATATGTTGCCACTCTCCCATGGTTTGAAAGCAGTTAACCTCGACTCTGACGGGCTTCTGTTCGCGGGGTCACAACCTCGTCGGAGCTCTGCTCACTAAAATAGCGTGTGATTATAGAGCTGCTTTCAAGGTAACTACAGAGGAGCTGACTTAAGACAGGCTCTTTTTCTTTGTGGTATACACCTCCATCACTGCACATCAGTCCTGTCAGTGTGGTTCTTCGAGTTGTGATTGCATCATGTCATCTCATGTGAAGGGTCGTCAACGAAGCCTTACGCCGGCGCATGTGCACCTTTGTTCGAGACCGCCAGCGAGTTTAGTTGTTGATCACTCCCCGCGTCTGCTGAATGGGCATTCCTTTTCCCCTTTGTGTGGCCTCCTGGCGCTACTTAATAACAGCCTTCGCTTAAAAGTTTTGCAAGCCGCGAGGACTCAGTGATCATTGTTGGTTTCAGACAAGGCTTTTGGGGTTTTTAAGGGCCCTCGTCATAAAATACAATACAATATACAACCCGTCTTTATTTATACGGCGCTGTAAAAAAAAAAATAAAAATGACCACAAGCATGTCATAAAAGGGCATCAGGGTTCGGGTACGATTTTTTTTACTTTAAACAAAAACGTCTATGAATGTCTTTTTATAAAGGCATGAACTGGTCAATTCGGATTCGATACCGATTTACACAGTGTATATATTTCGACATACAAAGACGACCCTTCTTTGATGTAAAGTCGATGCCTCTAATGTAGCATCCTTAGACCGTATTTAATATGCTTTCTGTTGTAAAGATTTACAGCAGGTGTTTTTAACGTCTTTGTTTGTGCCGTTTGAGCAGACACGAGTGTGCATACATCGCCGATCGGTATATTTTGATGATGCCAAGTTAGCATTAACAGGATATACGTCAACTGTGAGTTTACACTGCACTCACATTTTGATATGAGGATATCTGATTTTCCGCAATGTTTTTCTCCTCTGTCAAGGCGCGTATCCGGATTGTGTTACTTGAACCATGCAGTGTAAATCCAAACATTGCCAGATTTTAATGCTCCAAATCCTGAGGCTTTCCGACACGATGAGTTTCCGGAAAATGTACATCAGATATAAACCCACTGGAATGACCCAATCAAAGTGCAGATTCATGAAAACACAGAATAATATATGACCTATTTTGTCATCCAAATCCTTTGTCAAGGGAGGGGGGATCTACTGATACGGTACGTTTGCCAGATAAAACACTATTCAGCATTTCTGTATCCAACCTCTTGGTTTTTTTTTTCTTTTTTTTGTTGCTTTGATAGAGTGCAAAGATTTGAAAGGCGAAGACAAAACACTCTCGAGTCTCTCGAGTCTCAATTTGGGATTTGTGCCAAAAGCAGCGATATTTTGATCTTCCGGCGGTCAGAATATGCAAATGATCATCGGAAAGTGGAATGCGTTACTATAACCGTTTAACCTTTGCATGAGTTGTTTCAGAAGCAAAGACGAGGGGCAAATGTTTTATTCTCAAAATGTAAATCATTTCCATAATAAGCTCAGTCTGTTATCATGTCATATTTATTACAAATATGGAAGCCAGCAACGAACAGCTATTGTGAAAGCTCATGCCATTTAGTTCAGTCGACTAGCTCATTAAAAATGAATAAAAGCGCCTTTAAGAACTATTCCCAGCAGCGTGGCGCAAAAGCCAATACAATTACTCAGCGCACATCTTATGGGCATTTCAATCTATGCGAGGTTGCTCTGCGATGCATAAAGTAATGTCGGAAACTCATTAAAAACCAAAATGGAAGTTGATTAGATGAAAAAGTGGGGGCGGGGAGATCTCTTTTCAACCATGTAAATGTGCGAGTAGTGGCGTGTGAGATCCGTCTCGATTAGCGACACACAATGGGATAAGGGGGATAAAGAGGGCAAAAACAAAGTACGCAAAAAAAAAAACAACAAAAACAACAAAAAAAGTATCAAGGGTTGACCAGTTTAAAGAGCCCACAAATAAAGAAATAAGAGCAAATAAATGTGCTTGATATGTAATCGGTTTGTCAGTGCTGGCACAGTATGGTGCAATATTGACATAAATTTTTAATGTTTCTTCAGGGTATTTTACACAATCTTATTTCAACACGGAATCCAAACAACCAACAAAGACATATTTTATTACTTTGGTTTGGGCTGGCCAGCTAAATATTTGCTCATTTTGTTTTCGACAAAGCCGATCGTCATGATGATCATCATGAACCCCAGAACTGTGAGACAGATGTGTTCAACATCTGTCTCACAGTTCTGGGGTTGGGGTTCGAACCTCGGTTCTGGCCTTCCTATGTAGAGCAGCTTTTCTCCAGGCACCTCTTACATGGGTTCATTGACTTTAAAGAAACTGCCCATAGGTGGAAATGTGAGCGTGAATTTGGTTGTTTGTTTACATGTGCCCTGCGACTGGCTGGTGAACAATCCAGGATGTACCCCTCCACTTACCCCAAAGTAAGATGAGAAAGGCTTACCGGCCACCACAATTAGGACAGATTTTGATAACCCATATATACATATATATATATA